AAGAGAGATGTAACTTAATTAGGTGTTATGGCTGCAAATCTTTTACTGCTGACTTTGAATTTCTTTAAAGCCCTGTTTTGCACTCTGGTTTTGTTAATTCTGCTAACAGGGAACAAGAATTTTTTTCTTTCACTAAGTGGAAATATTTTAAAATAATAATAATAATCACAAAAAATTAGACCCAGGACATTTTGTTACAGAGCTAGTCCGCAACTTGGGCAGAGAGGTCAAAGCTGGACCTTGAAGGTCACAAAGGCCCAGAGAGGCAGGAGAAAGCCATGAAGGGAGAAAAGCTGCTGGACCGAGGGAGAGGATGGTAAATGCCAGCAGAAAGCCACGGCTCACCTAGGGAAAGGGTCCCCAGTGGGGGGAGGTGTGGGAGACAGACAGGGAGGGGAGGGGCAGCTGAACACCTGAAAACCAGAGGGCTTCAAACAATGAAACCCTGTTAGCAGACCCCTCAAAGGGCCAGGCACACCTGTTGCAGCCTCAGCAAGGCTCTCGCTCTGCATTAATGGATGGAGAAGGAGGGAGGGAGATGGAGAAAGGAGGTGGAGGTGGAGGTGGAGGTGGAGGTGGAGGTGGAGGTGGAGGTGCTCTGAGGCTTTCCTGGGTTGTGATGGGATGGCAAAGCTGGTGAATGCTGGGCATAGGACAGGGCCCCAGGGGCCAGTCCCTAAGGACCAGCAGCCAAAAGCCCCTCAGGTGAGTACCTCGTTCTCAGGGGAGGCCAAGGAGAGGCAAAACCCTAGAGGGCTTCCCCTTTGGACCCTGTGAGCTTCACGCTGCTCCCCCCTTGCCCTTCTGTCACCAGCCCCTCTGCCATCCCCAGCTAACTCTGGAGCTTGCTGGGTATCCTCTCTGTCCCCCCCAGTCCTGGTGCACAGCCACACTGCAGTGACAGCCCCAGCTACCCTGGGGTCTGACCCTCCTACTTATTTTGTGATCACTGCCAGGATCTGACCTCAGAGCATCGCCCTAGCCAGCACTGGGGCAGAGGGTGCAGGCAAGCAGGAGGGTAGATCCAGGAGGGTAGAGGCAGCAGGGCAGAGGGTAAGCAGAGCAGAGGGACAGAAGATACAGACAGAGAGTTAGAGAGTGCAGATAGGAAAGTGCCAGCAGGATGGTGCAGGTATTAAGGCAGAGGGCTGCAGGCAGCAGTGTAGCAGGGTGCGAGCAGCAGAGCAGAAGGGTTCAGGCAACAGGGTGCAGGCAACAGGGCAGCAGGCTGCAGGCAGAGGGGCAGAGGGTACAGCCAGCACTGCCACAGCAGGTTGCAGCCAGCCCTGCTCTAGCTGAAGAGCACTCAGGAGGCTGGAAAACCCCTGGGCAGAGCTGGACAATGCAAGAATGTCTGCCCCATTTTCGATCCCTGCTCATCATGTGAATGGGGGAGCATGTCGTAGAGGAGCAGGACCCTAGCTGGAGCCTATGCTCTTCTGGAGCAGACTCTGAGCAAAGGCAAACTACTTTGCATTAAAGAGGTTTGAGCTAGAAGCCAGAAATCTTAAAACAACAAACCCACAGATAAAACTACAGGCAGTTTAAGAGAGACCTTCTCCACTATAACAAAGTAAACATCAGGGTCTCCATTGAGTGCCATTTATTTTTATGCAGCTGAAAATATCAGACATAATTCTAAGAATGTTCCTATTTATAAAGCACTGAAGGGGAGTCACCTTGATTAACTCTGCTCCATGTGTTGCTCTGTTTGCTATAAAACCTTCTAAATCCCCCCCTTTTCCCAAAGCCCCTTCTTTGGTATTCCCAGCTCCCAGTTAGGAACTTCATGGCCAAAAAGCAAAAAGTTCCTATTTCAAAATGAACTGGAGAATAGTCTTGAATTAATTTCCCATAAGCCTTCTTGTCCAAACCAGAGCCAAAGGAAAGACAAACACTCACATTCAGCTCCCTCCTGCTCTGCTTGCCAAAAGCCCTGATGGAAAGGGGACCCCAAAGGACCCCTGGGTGCCAGGGAGCAGGAAGGGGCTCCCATCCAGCCCTGTCATCCCTCCCTGATTCCAGCTGGCTTCAAGAGCTCCAAACTGGAAGCACTACAGGGACCAGGGGCTCTGGCTGGGGTCTCCCAGCTACTCCAGGCCCAGGCAGATGGGCCACAATGCTGGGCCTCTGCTCCCTTTTTGGAGTCACCCTGGAAGGAGCTTGTAGAGGAGCCACTGCAATCCCCAAAAGGAGGCAGACTAGGAGCAGAGGTGGTGTGCAAGCTGCCCTGTTCTGGTCAGCCTCCTTAGCAGAATTACCATCAGAGATAGCTCAGATCTTATCGTTGTCCCATTGCACTGTACAAAATGCATGATTTACAGAGGATTGGCTCTATTCCACAACCAAAGTATGAAATGAAATCTCTGTTAGATCCATTCAGAGCTGCTTGACACAGGATAAAATCCATATATTGATAATACCTCTTGTTTCTTGCTATAGCCAGGACTGAGGGGCCAGAACCTCCATTGTGCAAGCCAGTGCAGGCCTGGGAGAGTGAGAGGAGCAGTGCCAGGTTGCACCAGGTGGGGTCTAGTCTGTGCATTGCTCTGAGCCCTTCCACAGAAATGCAGTGACACCACCTCCCTCCGTGCGTGTCTGCAAGCTCTGCTCTGCAAGGAGCTGAGTTAATGAAGCAGTCATCTATTAGCCTTTTCCTCCATAATCACTAAGAAAGCCTCCCTCCACTCCCTCACTATCTATACCCATTTCTCTTGTAGCAACTCAGTAGCTTTGAAACCTCTCCTCCTCGTCAAACTCCTACAGACCCAGTCACTCCTACAGACTCACAGCCACATGAATGCATGCGCACAGCCACAGAAAACCAAGCTAAAATACTACTTATCGCAGAGAGCTAAATACAAGGGGTAGGCTAAGGGAGGGGAGCCACCAAAGTGTGCTCAGAGACATTCCTAACAGCTGAGGAATATGGCCTCCGTCATGAGCCAACCTGTGAAGGGGTAAGTAGCTTTTGGCATTTTACCCCTTCCACATGAGATGGCTATATAAACGGGAGTTGGAGGCAAGGCTGAATGCAGGGCACCAGGGTCTCTTAGGAGTCCGCAGCTTTCCCTGTCAAGCATGTACTCTGAACAGGGCTGGGGGAAGCTCCTCAATAAATATGGGCACAGGAAGCCCCTGAGAAGCTCACACAGGAGGTTTCTCAGGTGTCTTACTGGGACCACATGTACCATGACCTAGAGTCAAGAACAGCGTAGGATGTCTTGTCTTTCAGGCTGGGATTTGTGAAAGAACCAAGGGCTTGAGGGCAGCAGAGCAAATGGTGGCCTGAGAAGGAAAGTGGCCTCTTCATCTCTTAATTTCTTCACCTCTGTCCTGGCCAAGCGAGAAAGGATCCCTACAAATGGATATGCAGGGAGATTGCTAGGAACAGCCACACTGTGGTGCTAACGGGGTCAAAATGGGTATTAGGAAGGGAGAGAAAAGTCCTGCCATACTCTGCCTCTTGTGCACAGAAATTCTTGTATATGCCTTTGAAGAGCTGGCCCAACATTGGTACACCCCATTCGCTCTGACTGCTGACGATAATCATGTAAGAAACAGATGACAAGAATATGGATTAGATGGCAGAATTAGATAGGCCTGGGAGAGGGAGAGATGGCCTACTAAAGAAAGAAGGTTGGGGATGAGATATGCAAAGAGGCTGTTTTACTGTCTGCCATGGCATCTGTCAGGGCACATCCTGCAGAGCCATTCAGGGCACTGCACACTGGCTGCTGCCTCAGCTCGGCTCTTCTCTGGGCGCCGAGACCAGTGGCACACCACTGTGTGGTGCTATCGGCATGCTTTGTGTCAGAGATTGATGGGATCTGAGGTGACCTTTGTGGGGCCCTGGAAGCAGGAGCCAGACTGGAAGAGGGAACCTAATCCATCAATCCAGGCATCTGCATTGCCCTCAGCATCCTGGTACCCAGCCTGTTTCTGAGCTACAGCTTCTACAAGAGCTTGAGCAAACCCAGGACACTGCATGGAAATTAGAGTCTTGCCTCTAGTTTGGGGATAAAAGGGGCTGTTCTTGAGGAGGTCTAATGGCAGAGACTTTCACGTCAGAAACATCCCCCTTACATGTGCAAAGCCTAAAGCGTGCTCAAGGAGCTGCCCCTCTGCAGCAGTTATCCTCTCCCATGTGTCTTCACTCAGTGTGAAGAGATGGCAGCAGCAGACTCTCCTTCAGTGCTACACTGCACCCAGATGCCAGAGCAGAGTATTAGTACTGGCACATCCTGCCAGGCAGGAGAGGATGCTACATTGCTCCATACAGAAGTGGTGATAGTGATCCTCCGATTCTAGCAATCTCATGATCCTACCATCCTGCAGCATTGTGGCTAAGAGACAAGCCAGGGGTGACCATCTGAGACCCAAACACTTCACTTTTTCAGATCTGAGTGAGGCAAGTCCTATGTAGCCCATGCATGAGTGGGAGACCTGGCAGTGCGTGCCCCAGCATTAGGTGTTCCTGAGCCTCCCTGCAATGAAGCCAGCATGGATGGCCTACCAAACTAGCACGGTTCCAGCGCTGGTTCAGAAAGCCAGTGCCAGGCAGAGGCAAAGGGTGCTCTTGCACTGCAACCAATAAGAAGAGATTAAAGAAACAAACCCCCAGACATGCACTGAGAGACAGTAATAGGTGCCATATCCCTGTCATAGCCTGGTGACGGGCCGCGAGGCCTGGATGGGTTGCTAGTTGTGTCAGGGTCTTTATTTTCCATGAAGATGACAAAGAAACCCCTGTCAAGTTTTGTTTGTAACTTTCTAGAAATAAATAGGATTTCAAAATCTCATTAATTTTTTTGTTAAAGGCAGCCTCGTGGCTGGTGATCTGGGTTTGGAGAGGTGGCTCAGCACTTGGTCTCTGGGTGTCCCAGTGAGGGGAGAGGAGAGGTGAGGTGAGGCAAGGTGAGGTGAGGAGAGGAGAGGAGATGTCACTGAGCAAGCCTTAAGCCATGAGCTTGGCCTGGCCCATGGTGCAGACCACTTACCTGCAGGTGCTTCAGTGCTGGTGATGAGGGAGGTTGGGTTGATGGCAGGGATCTCTGAAAGAGAAAGGGAGAGATGTCTTCAGGAAAGGGGGTTGCCAGCCTTGGGAAGGTTCAGATCCCAGGGCACCTCTTCTTTCTCCTTTCAGCCCACTACTGGGGCAACACTTACAATCTAGGCAGAGGAACCAAGCTGAGAGTGCCTGAAAGGGGACTTGCCCCCATGTGAGGTCTCCACGCCTCTACTGCTTTGCTAAGGAGCTCCAGGATCAACCTGGAAGCCAGGGAAGGCGCTGAGGACAACATACAGATGAAAGCCCTTCACAAACAAGGTGCAGAGGGGATTTCGTGGGTCACCTTCCAGGGAGTAAATTAAGAAAGAAAATGGATTGAACAAGCCTAATATAGATATCACAGGCTATTAAACGCACCTGGAATTTTCCAAACTGAGCTTAGTAAACTGGGAGATGTTGAGGCACTGCAATCCTCCAGAGTCCTAAGTCACTGCTTTAGAAGACACGTGCTCCAGGGGCTGAAAGACACCTGGGTGATCTGAGTGGTGCTCCATGCTGCATAGCACAGGCATAATTTGGGGAAAGACAACACTTTCTCAGGGTTCCTGGATAAAAACCTTGGGGAAATTCTGTCCTAACCCCAAGTGTGGGCAACAGTAACCTTGTCTCAAGGGACATGAGCAAGCGACACCAGTCAACCCTCTTGGGAAGCCTGTTTCTGGACATAGGGCCACTGTTCAGAGGGGACATTTTTCCATTGTCACAAGGTGAATCCAGAGTAATTGAGAACTCATTGGCTTTAACTCCCACTACTACTATTCCAGGAGATGCAGTGGATGCTGGAGGGAGGGAAGTTGTTCCTCTATCATTTGTGCCAAATTTGAATCCACTGAAAAAATAAAGATAGTTTTACACTGACATCAGTGCATTCAAGACCTGCCCTTGCTCCAACTCTGACTGACCATGCATAGAATTCAGCCATGAGGGAGAAAGGTACCTTGTCGCAGGATTAAGACAGCATTCATCAGCAGTTATTTTAGCTGACTGAAAGTGAGCACTAATCCAAGCGAGCCTTTTAGACACTCCCTGGCTAATGGGATGAAACACAGTCACCTCCAGAAGGCAACTCAGCCATCCTGCCTTGATCACCTCTTGGAGGAGGGCTGCTGCTGATGGAGAACCCCTTGGCTTGATTACTTCAGAGCATTTCCACTTGACCCAAGCTCTCCGTGAGCTCAAGCTGGGGAAGAGAACTGTTCCCTGGATCCAGCATGCCAGGGGAGTTTCAAGTCAGGACACCAAGGTGCTACCTGGGGAGGTGCTGACAGCACTGCAGCCCTGAAACACAGGGAAGAACAGCGCAGAGAGCGTAGCAGTACTCACTGATGCAGGGGGCCACCGGTGAGCGGCTTTGCTGGTAGCCCTTGGCACAGCGGTTGCACGTGAGGCCCGTCACACCGTCTTTGCATGGACACTGTCCGGTGGTCTGGTTGCAGGTTTTACCAGCTGCCCCAACTGGGTGGCAGTCGCAGGCTGAACAGGAGAGAGAGAAAAAGCTTCAGGTACAAGGGCAACAAACCTGACAAACTGTCCACACTAACATGCTGAGCCTGAGCTTTAGTTAGTGATAGGCCAAAATTTCAATCAAACTACAACCTCCCCTCTCTCTGCCATTGGCTCTCAGGCTGCAATGTGGGTGGGCAGAGGAAGTGGGAAGAAGGGCTAAGCTTTGCACGTGGTGGCAAGGTTGGGATTGGGCAGAGGAACGTCCATGACAGAGATAACCAAGCATGGGCACACCAGGGTGGAAGACAGAGACAGACAGATGACCCAGCAGTGCCCTCAGGAGTACTGCTGTGGGTCAAGGCAGCAGTGCCAGGGCTATGTGTGTGCTCCATCAGGTGGTGCCAGGGATGAAACAATAAGGAGCTGGAGCTCTCCCACAGCATTTGCAGCAGGGCTTCATTCCCTGCACAAAATCCCAAAGTGAGAATAATGATGCTGGAACAAAGCAGGAGTAGAGCCACAGGCAGACCCAAGGGGCAATCTAGACATCCTTGAAGAGGTGGGCCAACCCAAGGAGGTGATAGGTTCTTTCAATACATTGGCTAGGATGCACATGAGAAAAGCCTTTAGATGCAGCACTGCCCAGATTCCCCACCATCCTATGAGTCCATGCTGGCCATGGCACTGTCGTGTGCTGTGACTAGCCTGGGAAGGAGGGTGAGTGAATGAAGGCCTTGGGCCACGGCATGGCTTCTGCTCATGGTGCAGCTCAGAATAAGCACTTGGAGATGGAGGAACTCAAATGGGCCCTTGCAGCTGCCAGCTGCCATTTAAGGTCTGGACAGAAAAGGAATAGTTTCTTCCCACCTCCACTTTGCAGGCAGCTGGTTTGGGGATAGCCTGACCAACATGGGAAGGAAAGGAGATTTCCAGGCACTGCACAGTTACTGCTGTCAGCCTTGTCCTGAACAGGCAAAGCTAGTGGGGCAAGCCTGAATTGGTAGGAGGGGAGCTAAGGCTCATTAAGACAGCTAATTGCTACTTGGTGGCAGGAGGGAAAGGAGTGAAAGAGAGACAGGGAAAATGAAAATGCTGGTTTCCAGCAGGGCATTTTGGAAAAAAATATGTTTAAAATGTGTTTAATATAGAACTCCATCCAGACCTGGTTTGTGTCAGAGAGAAAAAAGAGGAAACCAGTGTATATTGCTCTGCTAGGTTTTCCCGATGAGGAAGTGAATGGAGCCAGCAATCCTAGCACAGGGGAGAAGGGATGGTGAATGCCATGGCTCCCCCAGGATGGGGGAGACTATCCATACCAATGCCCCCATGCCCTGCAGAGGTAGCAGTTGCAGCATGAGTGCCTGCACTAGCGTGCAGTAGTCAAGTTTTCTGGTTATTTTTGGCCTTCATGCTGCCCATCTGTCTCAAGTGAAGACCAGGGAGGAACCCCTGGCATGGGGTGGAGGCCTTGGAGAAGGGGCCAACATCACCACCTGGCAGGAAAGGCATGATTGCAACTCGAGGGAGGTCCGTCCTAGGGCAGCGGAATCAGCAAGCCAAACCACCACCACCCAGGTTGCAAGCAGCAGAGTTTTGGGTAGGAGATGAAACTCCAGGCCCTGTTGTGGCCAGGCTCAGCAATGAGACACATATAGCTCATGTGGAGGTGTGAAAACTCTCATGTAGAGGGAATAGTAGGGCCAGGGATGGGATCAGAGGCATGGCAGGGACGGAATCCTGCTAGACATGCGCCAGGGGCTGCTCTCCCTTCACCAGAAAGCCACCTCAATCAGAGGGCAATGCCCAAACCCATAGCAGTAGTGAAAGGCATTTTCTGTACTCGTTCCTCCATCCCTGAGCTACTCCAGAGCTGAACCAACTTTGAGTTTTTATGCAAATTTTAAGTTCATTTTAGTTTTAGGATGGTCTGAAGTGGGTAGTCTCAATGCTTCTCAAGCATATGAGCCTCAATGCCCAGACTCATCCTCTCTTCCTGGCAGTAGGATGCTGTCTCCATGGGTTTCTACCACAGCTTCTCCAAGGGACAGGTCACATTTGAGGTGGGCGAAAGTTGGTCTTCACCCTCGGGAAAGAGCCTAGGAGACTCATTAGCACACTGCAGGCCCTTAGTCTGGATGATGAACCCAGCAGGGGTTGTCTAAGAGGAGGCATGTGGGAGGGGAAGACAATGCTCAATCAGGAGACGACCTTCCCATCTGCCTTCCCAGGGCTGGGTTTGGCTATGAGCTGGAGGAGGTTATCTGGGCCTCCATCAGTGTAAGAGTTGAACGTGATTCCAAAGCAAAACAAAAACAACTCCCCCTGCCCACCCTCGCAACCCCCTGATGTTATCATTTCCCTAATTTTCACCAGATGGGACCTCGTCAGAGCACCACAGCCCTGCTCCCCAGGCCTTCTCCTACATGGTGAGAAACAAGAGCAAGCAGCCTCTAATGGGGACCAGATGCTTCACTCCTTATCAGATCTTGGCTGGGATTGGAAACGGACGTGTTTCTGACAAGGATATTTTGGGGGCTCAGCTGTGATAACAAATGGCAGTGAGCAAGGGAGTCTTGGCATGACGGGGCCTTCAGAAACACAGAGCCTTTCTTCAGCCACAACACATTTTCTTGCCAGGATGGCTGGGGCCATGTAACACCTCACTTAGCAACCTGAGGCTTTTGCTAGCTCTCCTGGAAACACTCTGTAGTCAGGTCAACAGAGACTCCTCAAAGACCTCTGGGATCACGGCATGATCCAATCCCTGGACTTGATCTGTGGTGCAACAGGTCTCCAATACTGAGAGATGATGAGCTGCACCACAGACACCCTCTTTGAGCCAACAGCTCCTGGGTGGTTATGAAGCAGGTAAAGTTGGTGCAGGTACCACAGCCCCCTGCTCTGGGGTTTTAGAAGTGCTCCTGCCCCAGCAGCTATCTGGAGCTGAGAAAACTCAACCTATGCTACCCTACCCTGAGCCCCTCCTGGGATGATTGATTCCTCCCTTATGGCTTTGCCTAGTCCACAACTTTGGCTTGTGGAGCAGAGACATGCATGCTGCAATGTGCCAAACCATCATACAGATCCACATGACCACAGCCATCCCCAAAGCCAACATAGCTCTGGGAGAACCTGCTGGACTGTCTGTCAGTAGGCTGTTGCGGAGAGATAAAGATACTGGGAGGGTGAAGGTACTGTAGGGATGACAGCCTCTCATAGGAGCGATGTGAGCAGGTTATGTCAGGAGCCCATCCAAGATGACTGCTTGGAAAAAGCTGATAGCAACAGTCCAGTCCTTGGCCAGTCCTAGGATGACTTGCCAAGAATACTACTACTGCTCTGCCTTCCTCTAGAGTAGCGTAATGGACTTAGCTACCTCTCTTGAACCACTGTGTTCCAGGATGTTTCAGCTACTTCCAGCACATCCTGAAGATCCCTGTGTACCCACTCTACAGACTCTTCTCGAGGGCTCTGCTGAGTCCTGTGGCACTTAGAGGAAGCAAGCGCCCTTGAAGAGCTGGCAGGTATGTCTGCTCCTGGAAAAGGTCCATTGCTTTGTCTCTTTTCAGTTAGTAATGGCTTAGATATCCATTGGTAGGGCTGGGCATGAAGTGCCATCCCTGCTTGCTAGCACTCATGCTGGAAAATGCAGCCTCATGCCCACTGGTATCACACCCTTTGTCATCTCCCTGCTTTAAGGGCTTTTACTCCGTTGCTTTCTCTGTATAAACCATGTATCTGTGCTTGGAGAAGCCTTAGCTGACAGTGCAACTATGCTGAGAAACCTGTCTGTTGGCCCGTTCCACTGACTCGTGTGTTTGCCTTCCTAATGCCACACAATGCCGTTTTCCAGCCTGCAGTCTAACTTGCCACAGAGCGACTGGGTAGAAACCCTGCCAAATACTTTATCGCCTGAGAAATGCATTATTACAGCAGCTGCCCAGGTAAACCTTAGAGATCACTGCAGACTTCAGTCTTCCACTATGCTTTATGTATGCATAGTAAAAGACAGTCCATGCCCTAAAAAATTTACAACTAAAGGCATGGTTCCAGCAAAGATTTATACAAGTGCTTAGCTTCACACATTGTGGATAATCTCTTGGGCCTCAGTGGTGTATTCCTGGTGTAAAGTTTAAGCACGTACATAAATCTCTGTACAATCAGAACTCAATTCATTTAAGTGGATTCCTGTTCATATTGTGGAAGATGGCTTTCAATGACTCCTAATATTTTATCTGGATCAGCAATTAAACTAGCTTTGCTTGTCTTATGTCCACGACAGACATGGTCTATCACATCAGATTTCTTCTGTAGATAGCTTGGTCTCTGTGAGACCAGCCTCTGGCTTTCACTGTGCTCTCTAAGGTCCCTCACCCCACTATAATCTAATTCCCTTGTAGTCCCACAAAGATTGATCACCCTTTCCAGTACCCAAGGGCAAGAACCAGTCCAAACGGCACTCAGTGCATTTTACGGGACAGATTCCACTGTCCAGCACAACCACTCTAACAGATCCGTTTGCACGACCTCTGCAAGGGACATCCCCAATCGGCACAAACAGCATCAGCCCTTTATATGCTTCTCTGTCCTGACATTGCTTGCCACTGCCTGGGCCCACAGAGAGGAAGGCTGCCAGGCTGCTCGGGGGCATCTGCAGCAGCCCCTGCCTGCTCTTTGGTGCTGCCTGTTTGGGCCCCTGTCCTAAGCACCATGGTGCTGCAAGTGCAGGGAGCCGCAGCACAGCTTCACACTCCTCTGCCCACACACCAAGCCATGCTGTTTGCAGTCCCGTGAGTTGCTGGGATCTGGCCCTCAGTGTTTGAATGGTGGATTAAGTCACTAGCTTGGAGCTTAACTCATTGAGTTTTACTTGCCAGAAAGCATGTCTTGCACCTAATATTGAGGGTATTTTTGCTTCTTAAGGCTTAGCTGCTACTGCTTCACCAGTTTTCATTGGAGAAAGCTCACGTTTTACAGCTTTGTTTAAATTACAGGGATTAATGCACAGCCATTCTTTATTTGACTTT